TTTGGAAGGGGGTTCTCGGACCTCGGCGGCCTCTTTTTGAAGAACGTGGGTGAGGAAAATCTCCCCACCACCACCATCACCACCACCTTGTAAACGATCGCGAAGGGAAAACAGCGGCTCCTTCTTCCTCCCCTCCCCCCTTTTCGGTACCCCCCCCTTTTTTTTGGTCTTCCTTTCTTGTCTTTTGTCTCGACCCTGCGGCAGCATCTTGCAAGCTGGAGCATAATGGAGCTGGAGAATATCGTCGCCAACACGGTCCTGCTCAAAGCCCGGGAAGGTAAGAGAGAAGGGCCGCCCGGCAACGGGCGAGGCGGGGAGGCAGCGGGGGGGGGAGGTCGTGGCCCAGGCCCCTCCGTGCCGATCGGACCTGGCCAAGCTCTCGCCCAGGGAAAGTTGGATTCCGGCATCCGGCCGCGGAGCGATGGAGGGAGCTGGCTTGATTTCCCCGGCCTGCGAGCTGTGGGTGAAAAAGTGCTCGAGCTTCTGCATCCTCTGATATGGTATAATAATAATGATGATCATCATCATCATCTTAGACCTGCACAGCTGGAAGGGACCCTCAGGATCATCAAGTCCAGCCCCTGTCAAGGAGGCCAAGGGGGGGAATCGAACCCCTAGCCTCTGGAGGTGCAGCCAGAGAGAGCTATTCAGCAGTGGGTGTGTTGGTTGCAAGGATCTGTGGCATCTTTCTCCCTTAAGGAAACTTTTGGGTCGAATTAGGACTTGGGTGATCCAGATTTCAATTCCTGCTGTGTGTTTCATGCATCTCACTGTTCGATCCTGTGCCCTTCACTGTTTCTCGGCCTGGTCTACCTAACAGGGATGTTGTGGTGGGTGGAAGGGGACCTATGTAGTCTATCTCGGTTTCATTACCAACAGAATAGGACACACGTGTAAGCAGCCATAAGAAATAGCTTCAGCCATACACAGTTGCTTTCTCACCACAGTCCTGCAGAGCTGGTTAGAAATCAGAGATCGTGGTCAGTAGAATGGTCCTATCTAGGAAACTTCTTGGCTGAGGGGGGGCTTTGAACCCTTTTTCCTCTTCCCCTTCCTGGGACAAAGGCAGTTCCCGTCACAACTTTAATAGGGAGAGGGGACAAGGGAGGGGGGCCATCTCCGGATAAGTCATCGAAAGAGATCTGGACCAATGAAACAATGATTTGGATAAGCTTATGGAAGCAGATCATGAAAAGGGGGTGGTGGGGTCACTGTCTTCTATGGGATCTTATTGTGGAGGGAAGCTCTTCAGGTATCCTTGAACTGGATCACTCATCAGCCCGAGCAGCAGATGTAGCCAGATGTTGAGGAATGATAGGAGAGCCCATCCAACAACTACAAGACCACAAGCTGGCCACCTTAATTTACACACACAACACAATCCTCTACGTGCCATTGGTATACTGAATTAAATGGCATCAATTCCTAGATATGTGTGCAGGTCCTTTATAATCATAGCCACGTGTGGTCAAGTCAGTTCTGGCTTATGGTGGCCCTTTTCAGGGTTTTCCCAGGTAGAGAATACTCAGAAGTGGTTTGCCATTTCCCTTCTTCTGCGGGTGCCCTGGGACTGTGCAGCTTGCCCAAGGCCACCCAGGCTGGCCCTACTCACAAGGAGGCATGGTGGGCAATCAAACTCCCAACCAGATACCTAATTCACTAAGGAATCCAGCTTGCAGCAGCTTTTGTTGAAAAAAAGCCCTATCCTTTCAATATAAGGAGAGTCTCCAGTGGTTCTCTCAGTTTTTACCTGATAAGGGTGAACAAAATATCTTTATGGTTCAAATTCTGATTGAGTAGGCTTCTTCCCTCTATTCCCATCTTTGAATTTGAATAAGCTCTTAATGGGCCTTTGTGAAGATGGGTGATGTGAAAAGTCTTTGTATTGTTTGTTGGTCATTATTACTTGTTTAGCCTTTAATTGCCTGTTTGGCCTTTATAGCCCTGCCTGATAGTTGCACTGGCCACGTGACCACGGAAACTGTCTACGGACAAACACTGGCTCTATAGCCTGGAAAATGGGGATGAGCACCGTCCCCTAGAGTCGGACACGACTGGACTAAATGTCAAGGGGAACCTTTACCTTATCCCTGCCTGGATCCACCACACTTTTTGCATCTGAGATGGAGAATGTTAAGTCCCTTTAGTCCAAAGTACCACATTGTGCTGATTTCCGTATGTTTCCAAGGTTGGGATGACTCTTCAACTCAAGACTGTATTGTCATTTACGTGACCTAGCTAAATATTACCCTGATCTTTAGATAAAAAGGCAAATTAAGCCATGGAATGCCCTGCCACAAGATGTAATGTTGGCTTCCAACTTGGCTGGATTTAAAAGAGGGCTATCCATGACCATTAGGGCCATCAATGACTAGTAGTCCAGATGGCTGTACCTAACTTCTTTAATATGTCAGTAGCTAGACAATACGAGGCAGGAAATTACAGTTGCATTCATGGCCTACTGGTGGAATCTCTGTAGATAACTGTTGGCCACCATTGGAACAGAACACTGGCCAAGAAGTTATGCTTTTTTGCCTGGTCTAGCATAGTTCTTCATCTTAGAACTACAGAGCTGAAAGCAAACCTATGGGTCATTGAGTTCTCTTATCTCCTTATGCCTTGCACACAGGAAGCTCATTGCTTAATTTTTTGTTGTTTGAAAATCTTGAAACGTTAGGAGTGGTTTGTGGCATCTGAGAACCGTTACAGTGCTCTTTCAGTGTGATCAGTAAAAAGAAAACCCAGACCACAGGAAAAACTGATACTGTAGGCTTTAACTCTGCATTTTCACAAGATGCAACAAACCTGGTATGTGTCCATTTTGCCCCAACTAGACAGGTTGTTGCAAAGTTTAAGGGACTGATCTTGACGGTTGTATTGTCAGGGTGGGCAGCTGGTGTCTCTCCAGATGCAGATCTACAACGATCATTGGTGCTTCTGGATGGGGCTTGTGAAAGTTGGAGTCCACCAACATCCAGTGGGTGACAACTTGCCAAGTTCTGCTCTGAGCCTTTTCAAGGGAAAGGCTCCTCTCAGTAGTTAAGGTTTGATTCCTGGTCCAGTCAGACATCTGGATAGCTCAGTGGTGTAGGTCTCTGGCTGTGGAGCCAGAAGGGGAGAGTTCAGTTCCCCACTGTGCCTTCTTGATCCAAAGGGTGCCTTCCAGCTCTGCAGTTCTCAGATGATGATGATGATGATGATGATGATGATGATGATGATGATGATGATTGCGAGCTCTGCCGGTACAATGAGAGCCCCTTCTGATCCATCTGAATAAAAGCATCTAGTGAGGAAGATGTGATACAGAGCTGAAAGATGGATTATCCCTACATAACCTCTTTGAAAAAGAAAGCAAGGAAGTAGAAAGCAGTTCCTGAATTCCTAACTCTTTTGTAATGGGCTTGGGGCCCTGCAGAGTGACTAATTTTGTTGAGAATTGAAGCCATACCTTCTGCCTGGTTGCAACACTCCAAAGTAAGAAATTTCATCTGCCCCACATTTGCAAAAGACATGACTTATTCCAGGTCGTGGACATGTTGCTAAGCATGGACCCAGAGGAGGTCCTGACGCATCAACAGGGAGTGTGGGGGAAGCTGCCTGTTCTAGGTATAGGCCCTTTATCACTCAAGCCCAGCATTGTGGTCAGTAGAGAGCTTATACTGCATGATTTGTGATGGACTGGAGTTTGGAAATGCCAGGTGCTAGTCCTCAGTGAACAAGGAGCCTTGCAGTCGGCCAGTCACTCTTTCTCAGCTTGGACATCCTCACAGAGTTGAGGATAATGTGGACAGGAAGAAAGCCATGGATGTTACCTTGGGTTTAGTGGAGGAAAGATACCGTGGGAATAAGTAATACAGAAGAAGCAGGGGTGAAGCTTTGGTTTCAGTTTATTTGATAAATATTCTCTCCAAACAAGCAAATTTCTTCATATTTGGGATAGGAAGAATTTCAGATTAAACAACTGAATGTTGGAGAAATTGAAGTTTAGCTAACCATAGATCTGGGGCCAGAACTTCAAGTGCTTAAGTCTGAAAAATCTATGTTTGCACCCCGGTGTGGTCAACCATGAATTAAAGTTGACACGTTTTTTTGTTTTCTGTAAAGCGCCTCATATTTAATATCTTTAATTACGAGTCATCTGACAAGGTCCTCTGCAGGCTGGGAAGAGCTCTGCCTGTTGAATTTGGATGAAGTAAAAGGGGAGAGAACATTGTTTTTGCAGAAGTTTGGGCAGAATTTACCAAAATGTGCACATAGATTCACAACAGAGAGAACTTGAGTTATAAAAATAAAAAAATCAGGACTTGGAAAAGTTATCTTTCTGGACAAGATCCTACAGAGTAACTTTACCAAGCTCTCTGAAAAATGCACATGCTGGGGAAAGCAAAGCTTATTTGACCCTTGACTTGGAGCAGTTCTGCAGACTGACAACCAGAAGTCTCTTGTGTGCATACCTGGAGGTGCAAGAAATCAATCCTAGGGCTTTTGTTGTAAAGAATGTGCTTCTATGGCCAAGCTGCGGCCCTTAAACTAGCATCTTGTAAAAAAATGAGAGGTTCTAGAGTACAGTCGGCAAATATGGTCCTGATCTTCTCTCTTGGAGAAAGGCAACTCTGTGTCTGCAGTTTTCATTTCCATGGAAGACAGAGGTGGCCCTCCAGGTGTTGGTGGCTTAAAATGCCCATCTGCCCTAGCCACTGTAGTGAAGGATGTTGGGAGCTGTAATCTGACAAAGTCTGATGGATCACTTCTCTGATATAAGAAATTCTATGCCCCTTGCTACATGTATGCGATTGATGATAGTAGTGTTTGATTCTATAAACATTATTCTAAATATCGTATTTTTTGTGTGTATAAGACACCCTCATGTATAAGATGCCCTCCACTTTTCTAATCCAAAATTAAGAAATCTAAGCGGGGCTTAGCAAGTGCAGTTGGAAAAGGATCAAAGCGCCGCAGGATCGCTTTGATCCCTGCTCTCCCCTCCACTTGTTTTTGTTCTCTCCTCAGCTTACTTCTGTGTTTAAGACGACCCTCAATTTTTAGTCTAAAGCAGTGGTTCTTAACCTTTGTTACTCGGATGTTTTTGAACTGCAACTCCCAGAAACCCCAGCCAGCACAGTTGGTGGTGAAGGCTTCTGCGAGTTGCAGTCCAAAACTCCTGAGTAACCCAAGGTTAAGAACCAGTGGTCTAAAGATTTTAGACAAAAGTATAGTCTTATACATGGAAAAATACGGTATGTATTTGTTGGGAAGCCTTGATTGACAAAGGTCAAG